GGGGGGGGGGGGTAGGCAATGAACTCATTTCTTTTGGGAGTTTGGAATCGCGATCCCCCCAAAAAACTGTGGCTTAGAGAGCACGTGGTCGGATATCGAAGAGGTTGGCAAGGTCTATTGAAAGATCCATTACGGATGTATGCCCTCGCGTATTTTATCGCGCCTCCCTCCGGCCATTTTTGTGTTTGTGGTTGCTCTGGTGAAGGCGGAGGAGGTATCTCGTTGGATACACGGCGAGGGGGGAAGAGCAACAGCAAACAAACCGCCGACTGCGCTGTATGGCCTGCCGTTCCGTGTTGGTCGCCGTCGCGTGGTGTGTCGCACGAGATTTAGTATTCTGCTGTAGATCCAGATACACAAACATAAATGTAGCAGCGCGCGCGCGAGAGAGAGAGAGTTCTGTTGGTTGGGGGTTGGTCGAGAACGCAAGGGTACCAAGTTGAGAAAAACGGGCGCACGTTTGTTGCTGCATTTTTTGCCTAGATCGTTCGTCGACAGCGAAGCGAAGCGTCGCCGTCGTTCATACCGACAAAGGAGAAAAAGATGTAAGTTGATCGATCGTCGACGTTTGTCCTCCATGTTGGTGTTCCTTGTATTTTGTTTTTGCTGATTTTCTCCCTGTGTGGATGTACTGTGAGTGCTCTTCATCTTGCACAACCCAAACAAAGAGGGGAAAAGGGACAAGGCAATGTGTATGTTAGGCCGTGTTGTCTTGTGCGTAGAGAAAAGGCGAAGAGACGACAACATGTTGCTAGAGCGTAGAATAAGCAAACGGCCGTAGTCTCGCCACCTGCCGGAAGAGCCTCCGGAAATTTATGTTGTACCTATCTATGCTGTGTTTCGAGTAAGTAAAGTATCCCGTGTGCCTGTTTATTTAGAGGAGTTGCATTAGAACGCTGCCCAGATGTTTGTTTTAGAATGTTTCTGTGTTGTGGAATAGCGGAGTGTTTCCATGAGGAAAATATTGTGACGTGTGGCGGGAGACAGGGTGTATTGGACTGCTGTCTCCGCGCGCTGAAGGGCGGAGAACAAGAATGGCGACCCCGTTCGCACGGTGACTGTTGAAAGTAGGAGCGCACGCGACGACCAAATTGAAGCCACGCCGCGTACCATCAGTGAGCTCAGTTAAAACGACAGAGGGAGGCACTCCTTGGTTCGAGGGGACACAGTTTTGCTCGCGTCAGACGCGATTTTTCGGGGGGCGTTTTGGCGTGGCAAGACACGTACGTGCGTTACGTTGCATACGTGAACGTGAGGGCACGCAGTGTAAGCGCGACTTGGTCAGTAGCAATAATCGGCTTATATTTGTTGAAGTGAGTTTTCGGGATAGAGGGGTGTTTTTCCATTGAGGGCTCAGATTGAGGCAACATTCAGTTCGAAAAAAGGAATATGGTTACACTCCATTGCTACTAAATTACGGGATATGCATATGAAGTTCGGAAATCCGCACTTGCTGCTCGTGTGGGCAACGTGTTCCGTCATGATTTTCAGGTTATCGATAGATTTTCACGCAAGAGGTCCCTATCAGCGTAGAAGTATAATAGCTGGTGGTATGTTTGTCTTAATGGCGGTGGTGGGTGTTTCGTCGGCGTGCTCCAACACCTTGGAAGGAACGAATGAATGAAGAATCAGTCGTCGTGTACACTAATTTTGCGGAAACGGTTGCCACCCCCCGCTGTTTTTTTGTCTCCTCTGTCTCCAATCTTCTATCTACCAGCAACCAGTCTACTCTTCTTGGTGCGCGGGTGTGTAGTCTATGTACTCATAATTCATGTTCACGCATGCCGTACTCGGTAGACCAAACACCTCTCGCCTTCCTACGTTGTTATGGTCCCGGGACGGAGCGATATGCCGGTTTTCGCTGGCCCACAGGATACGTTGCACAAGGACGAACCAGAGGCTGGTCATCCTCGCGTATGCTGTGCCAAACCATATACATACATATGCGATGGGTTGATTGGGCATGCCAGCTAACATTCGGCGGACACGAGTAGATGTAGACTACTGCATGTTCCGCAACTCCGACCTCTGTGCTTGTACAACACAGTCGCGCCACACACAGCGAACATGTCACTTCATGTGTGATACACTTCTTGCAGTTTATCCTGCTAATAGGCAATACTCCAGGTGGACACTTCAGATGGAGCTGTACGTTATAATAAGTTTGTTTGCTCTATAATACGGTGTTCACTGTCCAGTGTTACTCAAGCCCCCAGGATACACGGCATGAACTGCTCAGTTTTAGTTTTACAGCTCCGTGCCACAAGACCCACTTACCTCGACCGATCCACTCTCGAACCTCACAGGCGGGGGGGATGATCGGTCTCATTTCCAAGGGGGGGCTTTTGGGGCGAGGAGGGAAAAGGGACACGGCTTCAAGTAGCCGGGGCTACCCCCGGGTTATGATGGCACAACTCGTTGCATTTTGTGCGTGTTTTATTATTAGCATCGACCGCGCTAACCGGCTGACCGATGAAAAAACGTCAGTCTTAGTGTGGTTGAAAACACAAAACACTTCTACCATGAACTGGGACCCCGTGAGGGGGCAGCATGGGGGAGGCTAAACTGTCCTTCGGATCAAAAA